GAGGATCAGCAGGAGTTGAGGAGTAGGTAAAACAGGAAAAACTTGAAAATATATAATGAAGTTGCTGGACAGCTTTTTGCTAAATCAAAGCCTCCTTCAAGCCTCTATGCCCCACTTCAAGAGTACAGCCCTGGGCCAGACCCTGACTGGATTTGCAGTACCTGCCTTGGACGGAGTCTCTGGGTGGAGTCTGCCTCACTCAGAGACACGGCAGAAGGAGGAGTCCCAGCCCATCTTTGAACTATGCAACCCCACATTCCTGCCTCACTGCTGACTGAGACAGGAGTGGACATCCCATAGAAGGGCAGAAGACCCTCAGCTGGACAGCACCTATACTCTGTTCAAAAAAGATAAACTGAGTCCTAGCTGGTTTGGCTCAATGGATAGAGCATAGGCCTGCAGAGCAAAGGGTCCTGGTATGATTCCTGTCAAGGACACATACTTTGATTGAAGGCTCCTTCCTGGCCCTGGGCCCTGGGCCCTGGTCGGGGCCTATGCAGGAGGCAAACCAATCAATGTGTTTCTCTCACATCAGTGTTTCTCTCTTCTTTCCCTCTGTCTTTCACTTTCCTTAAAAATCAATGGAAAAATATCCTCTAGTGAGGATTAACAAACAAACAAAAATGATAAACTGAGCCAAGCAGATTTTGTTTCTTGGAAATGTGAACTAAGACATGGTAACAAATACAATATATTCAAATGGTAGGAAAGGGGAGAGCTTGGCAAGAGAGGCCATTGTGGGTCGAGAGAGATTGGAAACCTTGATGTAGCAAAGGCAGCTGGTGATAGAAAGAGAAGAAAATGGCAGAGATATGCTGAGAAATGAGGAAAAGTGGAAAGAAATAATCTGCCCTTGGAGGAAGAGAGGCTGATCCCTAGAGCTGTGTTGATTTCTAAAGTGCTCTCCAGTTTGTGATCCTGTTCCAGTCTGTGAGTATGGATCCTTACAACAGCACTCTGTCCCTTTCCTTGTGTTCTGAATGGGTCTCTGTTGCCTTAACCACAAGCATCCAACTAGAACAGAAGGGCACAAACAGTTGTGGTTCCCACTAGGAAGAGCTGCTAGTAAATGGGCATATAAGAAAAATGCTTCCTTCTTCTCAACACCCTTCCGAGGTCACCATAGGGATAGGCCCAGAGTGCGATGGTGGGGCTCAGAGCATCTTTTGGGGGATGTTTATTCTCTGGTTCTTCACAGTGCCCCCTTCCCCCCACCATCTTCCTGGATCGTGAATGTTCTGCTCATTCTCCCTAGGGTTCTAACTATATGTTGCTAGAATTTGTAACCTCACAATAACATTTTAAGCCACTGGTAATGTCAGCACCAGGGCCAAGTAGAACACCTATCCAAATGATCTTGGACAGTGACTCCCGTAGCTGCAGAGCGAACTCCCGAGTTTACGGGGAAAGAGAAGTTCATGTCACCTTGGACTTGTCTTCTCTGTGTCTCCCACTCTTTATCCGTAAAACGGGGACTGTAACCATGATGATGAGAAATGAAATGAATCAACACCTTCAAAGCATTTAGAAGAGTATCAGGGAATACTAAGGCCCTAATATATGTAAGTAATTGTGTTCCATGTCCCACTGGAATGCTCCCCTCTGCCTCCCTAACTTGGATGCCCATTAAAGGTGAAGATGTACCTTTATGGTTGGCCTAATGTCTTTGACCTAACACCCTCATGCCAACTGCTTCCTCCTTCCATTGCTGAACTTGCCTTGTATACATTTCATGTCTGGAAGATACTTCATGTATTAATGGAGAGGAGTCCATTTTATCATTTACTTTCTGAAAGTAATAATCCACCTTTATTCACCAATCCATTTGGACTTTCAATAAAGGGACATTAAGGCTACTCAGAGAGGGATTTGGGGCAATTCTCCCCTTAACATGAACATAGACCTTTGCCTCCCCCATTTAACCTAATGGGAGACTAGAAAGCATGACCATTGTGTCTACAAGCCTAGCACAGCATGAAGCAATGCTGACCAAAGTATCCCCTGGTTATTCTCTGGGGCTGCTAAAAAGAGCAAATACTGAACATGACAAAATGATTCATCATGATTGCACAACATCAATAAAATAATTATGACCATTTATTATGTACACCCACCAAAAACAAAGCATTATGCTGACCGCTTTATATAGAATATCCCCATTCCTCCTTCAACAAGTCTGTTTATTTTTATTGATGGGGAGACTGAGGCCTCAAGATGTTAAATGGCTTTTCCAAGCTAAATAGCTAGCAAGTGAGAAAGCCAAGATCGGAACCCAAGCTCATCTGCCTATTGAGCCCAAGTTCTTGGACTTCATACCACAGGGAACATGATAAGCCGGTGGTTAGAACTGGGTTCTGTAGAAGCCAGCCTACACACGTGCTGTCCAATTCTGGGCATCTTGGAAACCACAAAAGAGAAAAGCAGACTTTAGGGATAAACAGAAGTACGAGGAGCCCATTTGTAACTTCTTTTTCCTGTTCTGTTTGTAATTACAGCAATAAATAACTGAGCAGGTTCTCCTTTCCAGACAAACAGATTCTAAGCTAAAACATTGTATATACATTTGGGGAAGCTAAAAGTTTCAAAACAGAGATTTAAAAACAAAGCAGGTCATTGACCAGGAATATACTTCGACACATTTCATGTGAATTTTATTTGGCTTGGAGACTGCTCTGTGAATTTCCAGAGGCCCCTTCAAGGAAATGATGGCACTCAGGGTGGGGAAAGGAGGCTGGGAGTCTGTCTCTCCTCCCCCATCCACCTCCCTTGGTAGCCCTGCTTTTGCACACGTTTTACACACATTTGAGAGGGAGCAAGTGGTCACATGCAGCTTCAATGTTATTTGTGGGAGAGGACAGTTGAGAAGGGAGGGACACAGCTTCTTTTCTAAAAAGCATTAATGTTTGCCGAAGCTCTGTGATGCAGACACCATGATTCTGTAGGAAGATCTAGCCAGGAGAAGGACTATGGCACACACAATTGCAGGTTTTGCTGGTCCAGAACTTTATGGTGAGGAGACATTTGTACATCAAACTCCGTTTCTCCTGCAGCCCTGACAGTTGCCTGTCAATCTGCCCAGCTGGTGCAGCTTGGATATGAAAGAGAAGATGGCTTTCTCCTTTCGCCCTCCCTCCCTCCCAGTACCGTGGCCTCCCTCCCCCCACACTTTACAAAACCATGTGGATTTGCTGAACAGGTGTGTAAAATTAATTATACTGTGAGTGCTTGGTAACCAATGAATTGTAAATTGTACATTATTAAAACAGCATCAGAGCTCTGACTGATCTATTATTCTTTGGGGAATGAACAAAGATAAGAGCTTTATGCGCTTTTGAGGCCTTTCTTGCCACCATTCAGCAGGCAAGGAGAGGCAATATCAAGTAGGTTTTTTTGTTGTTGTTGTTTTGTTTTCCTGCAAGTTGAATTAAATAGAAAGGGCATCCTCTTTTCCCCATTATTAAATCATTATATGTGCCCTCACATTTCTGCCTGTAGTATCTAATAGGGTAGTGTACACTCAATAACGGCTATTCTGCAGTGATTGTGATAATATGCACCCGTATATGCTCACACACAAACGCAGTGCCATGTCAGCCTAATGTGCACAGGAGATATATGACATGACATGGCATGGTAATAAAATAAATTGTGTTGATGTAGTGCTTCCCTGTAACAGCTCAGAACAAATTCAGAGCAACAGTGGGAGACATAAAACACATGCGTCAGGAGCCTAGTGGCTTCAGTTGAAAAGGAAAAATCTGGAAGAAACAGGGTCTTTGCCTCTTCCTTCTAGACACAACAGGATTACCCCCGGGAGTCGCTTGCGAAGCTCTGTGTTTCGCTAACTATCTCCCCTGTGCAGCATTGCTGCGCGTCTTCCCACCTGCCCTGATCATTCCTTCCAGGCACACCGCTCGGTTCTTGGCGGAACTTTCTCTTTCCATAGCTGGCCAGGCCTGCAGTGCTTGGGAATGTGCCTGCCCTCAGCCAGGCAGCATTATCCTTACCAGCAGGCATTCTAGCTAAGAGAACCGAAACAGGAACAAGGCAAACCACACCTTATTCCACCCCCCAAAAAAATAAACATTGACAAACCCACCATTTCAGGAAGAACTAGGATGCCTTAGAACTGGGCTGTCCCTGACTGCTGTTTAGGACCAGCTATGCAAATGATGGGGGTTGGGGGGCGGGGGGAGGGGGGAGAGATAGTGGGCAAAGAAAACACAGGCCCTTAATTCAAAACGTCTGAAGATTTCAAGAGAGGGATAGCAGAGCATTAAGCCAAGGGCGGGCTCTCCTATGTAGAGGGCCCTGAGCCACTCCACAGGTCGCACAGCCAGGAAGCCACACAGGCACACCTGCCCGGTGATTTGTGAGGGCTTCTGTATGCACAGGGCACTTCAATCTTCTAGCAGCCTGACTGAGCCACCAGACAATTTCAGCCTGTCTTCGGCCCAGAGAAAGGCAGTGCCAGCCACTCTCTCTTCCACAGGAGCAACAACAGTGGGATCTCCTCTCCCTTCTCCGTGGTCAGAGAGTAGCCATTCTGAATATGAAAATGTGATGGCAAAAGACACAGGCTGAAGGGAAATGATGTTTTATGATCAGGTATGAAAAAGTTATGTGTGTGTGTGTAAGAAGGGGGGAGCTCAAAGGAGCATCTGAGGGGCAGACAGAGATTGCCGTAGAATAGACAGAAATCCACTTTCCGAGAGAATGTATATTCTCAGATATACCTCAGGGTGTGTCTGAGCACCACGTTGTTGCTGTCTTTCTGTTCTCCAAAGAATCCCTGGGATTCCGAGGGAAACGGCAGCAGTTTCTTTTGTTCTATTTCAAATGAGCCTAATCTCACCTATTTCTTTGTATATATTCATTTGGTACAGGAAGATGGAGGGATGGCCAGGGGACATGCAGGGAGAGTGGGTGGAGGGCTGTGTTAGGGGGGAGCTGGGGAAGGAGCCATCAAACAAATGGCTGTGGAGGACGGATGTCATCACAGCGAAAGCAGCAGGTGGAGGGAGGCAGGAGGACAGGAGGAGGGTGGACCAGCTTCCTGCAGGGCCTTCTGACTCCTCAGGGACCCCGTTGCCTCTGCCTCTGCCTCTGAGAACACCGAACACCGCCACGTGCCTATTGTTCTAGAAAGACAGCCGAGTTCAGGCACACTTCTTCCTTTCAGCATCATTCCCTGTTGCCGGAAATGCTTGTGTGCACTTCAGAGGAATGAACAGATGAGGCCAGAGAGGGCAGTGGTCTGGGTAATAACTGTGGTTACAGAAAAAGAGGAAAAAGATTTAAAAACAACAGCATGTCTTACAATTCACTTGCCACTTGGTTGGGGAAGATGGATTGTGCTTTCGACACAGAGGGACAGGAGTTGAGAAAACAGTCTGTGCAGGGGGAGTGAAAGTGCCTCTCTAGCCGCACCGGACTCGCCTCTGCTGGTCACCAGAAGACCGCGGGCGGGCGGGCGGACCGGAGAGGAGGCTCCTGCAGGCAGCCGCCCTGCTGGTGATGCAGTGCGCCCTAACATTCAAGAGAGGGCAGCAGATAACCGACTGCCTGCAGGGCCCGCAAGCCTGTAACCTGAGGAATGTCAGCAGGACAATTTGCCTGGTTTATCACAACTCAGGTCAGGCGAGGTTTAGCTGTGCCAGAAATGTGTGTTTCTAGAACTGTGTGTTTAACGGAAAAGCAAATATTGGGTTAATGAGATCTAATGAGCTTTGGTGATGTCGAGGGCAAGTGCAGGCCTATTGCCCACCATGGCGGCCTCGTGCCAGGTTATTTAGTGATTTCAAAACAAACGAACAAACAAACAAACAAACAAAAACTTGTGATGTCAGCAAAGTCAGGGCCTGAATACCAGAGAGAAGGTCCTGCAGTATGAGGTGTGGGGAGGCTGACAACCTTATGCCTCTGCTGCCTTGTAAGTGCTCTTGCTGATTCTCTGATAGGAGCAGGACCAGCCCCCTCCCGCCTGGTCAATCCCACAGGGACAGACCCAGGATGTGAGAGAAAGGAGATTCTCTTTGAGATTTCCCAGTGACTCCAGAAGAAGGTCTGTGATGGGAAGGACTGGCCCCAGCTCCTTGGAGGCTGGGATTTCAGAAGGCTGGGTGCGGGTAGGGTGGCGAGGGAAAGATTGCTGAAGGGGAAGAGGCCTGAGGTGCTTAGGTTGAAACCACAGTCCCCAACTCTATCTTCTGAGTTAAGATAGGACCTCATCCCTAAGGTGACCCACTCGACCACTTTATGATCCTGTGTGCTGGGAAGAGTGCTAATCAGGTGCCGACCCCAAACACAGTGAAGTTCTGCTGTGTCCTTTGGCAGGAAAGAACAGTGAACAAAAAGGAAATCTTATTTTTAAAGTAAACCCTGAAATAATATTGCAGGGTCATGAAACCTACCACTTTTCTGTTTGACTTGGTTTTAAATAATTATTTTTACTCTTGATTTTTTTTAAATTAAAAGCATTCTAAAATCATTTCAATCGACCAAGAGAATATCAGATTATGCGAGAAATCTAGAAGATGTTGCCTCTTACAAGTCGAACTCTCTGTTTATTTTGAGCATGCTTTTTTTTTTAATTTCTAGAAAGACTTCAAGATTTTTTTTTTTAACTCCATCAACAAGTTAGAATATTTGAGACTGATAAATCAGAATATTTAAATTGTATGCCGAAACCGGTTTGGCTCAGCAGTAAAGCGTTGGTCTGCAGACTGAAGGGTCCCAGGTTCGATTCCGGTCAAGGGCATGTACATTGGTTGCGGGCACATCCCTGGTAGGGGGTGTGCAAGAGGCAGCTGGTCGATGTTTCTCTCTCATCGACGTTTCTAGCTCTCTAGCTCTCTCCTTTCCTCTCTTTAAGAAAAATCAATAAAATATATATATAAAAAAAATTGTAAAGGGCTTCCATTAAGACTTGGGAAAATGCACCTTATCTTTTCTATTTTTATTTTTGGCAACCTAAAAGTTAACATCTGCTGCACTGTCTAGTTGTACACCTGATACTAGGCAAAGAGTTTCTGAGAAACATGCCCTAAGATTTTGGACTGATGGAACATTAAACAATTACTACAGAGTCGAGAAAATTGGACCTTTCTTAGAGGCTGGCGACCAGAGGATTCTCTTCACATGTGTAATCATGAAAACCAGACTTGGCAAGAGCCAACCGAGCGACAGTGATTGTGTATTTCTTTGTATTCTCTAAAATATTGAGGCAGGAGATGATTTCTCACTGGTGTTTCGCATGTCATGAAATTAGAGCTGCCAATTGATAAACAAATTGCTAGGGTCTCTGGTGCCCTGACGGGGCATTAAGGACACACGAGGCCTCTGCAGGCAGGTCTGCGTGGATGCTACTTGCAAAATCACATAATCCAGAATGATGCTGGGGTCCTTTGCCTCAAAATGACTCTAAATGAAAGGATGCATTTCTCTATTCCAGAACAGTTGGCTCCAAAGTTAAAAATAAATAAATAAATAAATAAATAAATAAATAAATAAATAGGATTGTTCTCTGAGGAACACAGATCTCTCAAGGATGAACCCAGTCAGTCCTCAAATTACAAATGCAAAAGAGAGAAAAAAAGGCTAGGTTTAAAGTTTTTGTACAAGAGGAAAAAAGGGGAATACATGCATCAGAACAAATAGGAACCTGATATCGTATAACTGCACTATCTATTGAACTTGACTAAATCTCCTTGACTACAAGTTGGAGGCCTGAGTTTTGCTGGCAGCTCTGTTCCTACCTTCAGTCATTTTACAAAAGGCATATTTCTACCTTTCAAAGACTCAGTTTCCTTAGCAATGAAATGAGAAAATTTGATTTTATATTAAAAAAATCTTATTTTATAGGATTCTCTGAAGTACTGCCGTTGACACAATAAACTCCCAAACATTCATCTCTTTCCCCTGCTGGAGTGATCTCAGTTTTAGTTTATGGCAAAGCATAGCTACCAGAAACCACTGGTACATCATAAGCTTACGGTATAAAAGGTATCCTTTGCTAAGCCATGAACCAATATACAAATATCATGCAGTTTTCCACTTTAGTCTTTTTGGTAAAGACCACTTGGTTTATTATGTACCACTCTTGTGTCAGGCCTGACTTTCAAAATTGCTTCTCTACAGGATGATACTGTTAGGGTTACAGATTGCTTAGCCCTGAATCTAGGAGTTTATGTGTGAAGTCGCTTCCTCTGCCCCCACCCTCAGCACCTGTCTCAGTCCCGTCACACTTAGCAATCTATCAGAAAATAGATCGAAAGCAAACAGGCATGCCACCTGCCCATGTTCACAGCAAAAGCAACAGATATTGAGGCCACCATTTTAATTTCCCGTGAGCTACCATCTATTGCCCTCTGCCTTCTCAGCACTGCAGCTCCTTCTTACTCCTCAGACGCCCATCTGCCCCCAAATCCTTTCTCTTCCATCAACATTTAGGTCATGCATGTCTTCTGTGTACAGATTACCTTTGGGGTTTTTTCTGGAGAGAAAGAAATGACAGAAAATACCTGCACTTAGAAGGTTAAAATATTGGTCTCACTAAAATGTTTGGACATTTCTTAAAAATGTGTCTCCCATATTGAGGACCCAATTGCACAAACAGACTCCTTATTCTTCCATTCTTGTTAACCCCATTTTCATACTGGATCATTTTAGATAACAAAAGAGGAAAAAGGGAAGGAATGATTAGAGAAAAGGAATTAAGATATGCTGATTATTTCATGTGCCTGGTACTATGTTAGGGGATTTGCACACATAATTTTCAAAAGGACTCTTATTGCTAGGTGTGGCGATCCTGTTATAAAAAAAAGTTCAAATAAAGCACAGAGAGGGTAAGTACCTTGTCTGAGGCCACACAGTAAGTGGTGGAACTCAGAACCTTGTTCCACAGACTTACTGATGCTCCCATTTATAGTTTTTATTCAATTTTGAAAGAATTATAGCTATTCTATCCACTGCTTTTAAATCTATACAAATCTATATAGTTTTACTAAGAAATCAAATTAAGTCACCATTAATTTTATCATATCCCAATTTTATATGCAAACATTATTTTAACATTTTATGGCATGAATGAAGACAGTTCTAAGGCAAACACAACAGCTGGGGCAAGCCCAGAAAGACTAATTTTCTACAGCATGTTAGAGGCAATCCCTTAGAATGATGTACTATCTTAGGGGAAATGAAATATTTTTCTAAATTTGTTTATCCAGAAGAATCTCCTTACCATGAAATGAAAGTAATTCTGCTCGTGGCTGCCGGTGCAGATGTACCTTCTCCAAACCTTTTTTAGGTCATCACGTAGATGTAATGAGATAATGTACTAGTAATATGGAAGTGGCATATAAAAAGGCAGAAAATGCCCCTAGGAAATTTAAGATTTAATGGAACAAGTAAAGCAAAGTAGGTTATTATGGATGTATCAACTAAGAGAGACTGGAATGGGGAAGTGAGGGTACAGTGGACTCCGCATCTTAACCATGGACTTGGTTGCCTCACTTTGGAGGCAGCTCCCTCCTGGGCACTTACTACTGGTACCACTTCCCTCTTCACATTAGATACCGTTGCCACGACCTTCGTTGACAATGTATTGACCTCTCCTCTTTACTTGATTAGATCTCCTGGAAAATTAGGAAGTGATGTCAACAAGAAGGACAAAGACATCATGTGTGCCATAACAGTAATAGCCTAAACCTACATCACATTTTGTGGTTACACTACAGTTTCTCAAAATGGGGTTCCTGGGAGACTTGCCTCAGATTCACCAGTGAAATGCTAAAATTCAGATTCCTGGTTCATACCCTATACCTGATGAATCAGAATCTCAGTGGTGGGAGGGAGAAATGGGTGGAACTCAGGGATCTAAAGTTTAGGAATCTCTCCAGCATATATATATATATATATATATATATATATATATATATATATATATAATCTCCATTGCTATTTAAAATATTTTCTTTCATATATGTTAATTTTTGTATCTTTCAGGAACCTTCTATGCTAGGTAATTATGATTACATTCCCATTTTACAGAAGTGTCCTTTGAAACTCAGAAGAGTTACCTGTATGAAGGGGCACAGCTAGTAGGTGTGAGCTCTGAGCAGCAGCCAGAGCTCTGGCTTGGCCAGAGAGCCCGTGGCCCTGCCCCACAGCGCTCTGCGTCCGGAGACCGAAGGACAAAGGTTTGGAGAAGGTACATCTGCACACACAGCTGTGGTGGATATACTTGTAAAGGGTAACATGGTGTTAAAATTCTTTTATGTTTTTAGCCTTGTTTCCTATTGATAAAATTCATCAAACCCAAAATTGCACAAAATTCCTCCTGTGTTATTGTAGTTTTGCACTTTACCTTTAGGTTTTTCATTCATTCCTCCTGAGTTAATCTTTATGAAATACAATATGTAAGATTTGTGTCTAAGTTCTTTTTCTTTCTGTTTTGCATGTGGACATTGAATTGTTCCAGTATCATTTGTTGAAAAGACTATCCTTTCTCCATGGAATTGCTTTTGCTCCTTCATCAAAGAGCTTTGAAATACTTGATCCTTGGTTATAAAAGTATTTTACCTCTGTCCTCTTCTTTATAAGGCAGCCAGATAAGTCCTGCGTTTAATAATTATTTGCTTAGGGTTTGAACCCTACCTTCTTAAGAGAGAACATGAGACAATTTTCAGATTAGAATGTGGACTGAGAAAAACCACTTCCGAGGCATGGGGATAGAATGCGTCCACGCTGAGTGCTGTGGCCCAGGGCTAGAGATAGAGAAACCAGGTGCCAGCCCTGACCACACTTCACCTTTTGAACTTCTGCCTCCTTCACTGAAAAATGAGAAGAAAGTTACAAGACATACTTCCGGTTACTCATCAGAGGCATCTACTTAAAGCTCATAGTAGAGGTAATAAAACTTGTATTTGTACACGGGTTTTTTTTGTTTTTTTTTCCCCCCAGTTATTCAGCATGATTGTGTTTTCAGAGGGGACTCGTGAAGATTCGCTGCATTTATTGCGGCTGATCTAATCTATGCTCCTTCACCAATCCATGAGAAAGAGGCCTAAGACATACCTGCAGATACCTGACCACACACTTCCTGGATGCCCCTGCCTGCCGCTTCCACCCTGACTTATCACACCCTGGCCCCACATTTTCATCTCTGGCACTGGGGTGTCTTTGCTTACTTGGGTCAGGAACGTTTCTTTATTGGTATCCCCATACACGGGATCTGTTCTGCCTCTCTTCTCTCCTTCTCAGCTTCTTCTCCCAACTCTCTTTGCCCAAGGCTGACCACACTCCCTCATTCTCAAGAACACGCAGCTCATCTATTATATTTTCCATGTGTAAGGCAGCCAAAGGCTTTTAAAGATAATGACAATCTCTCAACTGCAATTTTGAGTTCCAAAGAATTTGTGAGATTTGCTGGCACAGGGAGTTACAGGAATATTCTCCTAGTACTTTGTGGTCAGGATTCCCAGGAGGGTCAGGGATCTTCGGCAAACAAGTCATGTGAAAATAATTATACTACTGCACGGGTGGCGGTGGCTGTTTGGAGGATAAGGAAGAGAAGCATCATATAATTTTTGCAGAAAAAGTGATAGTTGAGTCTTGAAGGATGGTGAGAAGTGCAGCAACAGCCTAGACTGGCAGTGGGGGTCTTGGGATCCAACAAGAGTAACACCATGTGCAGAGAAAGGGAAACATGAAAGAACATAAACTTTGGATGTTTTGTAGGCCAGCCCTACCCACAGGTGGGCAAGTTGACTTAGCAGGTTTGGCTGGCTGAGCAGGTGCCCCCTCCCTGCACTGCGTACATCTTTCTGAGCCTGCCCTCTTCTTAACGCTCAGGAAATCGATCAGGAGATCGCTCATGCTGTCAAGATGAGAGAGAAAAGCATGGCTTGCCACCCAGCACATGCAGGACAAGACCTGAGGTACAGCTGAAGCATAGAATGTGTGCTTGAGGGCAGCCAGAAACGAGGGGAGAAAAGACTGGTGGGGAATGATGACGGAAGGATCTTCACATCCAGGCCCTGGGTTCTCTGTGCATCGTGTGGTGCAGTTCTAAGGAGTAAGCCTAGTGCCCAGCGGGACTGTGGGGAGCTGAAGGACATACGAGAATGGCTATGCTCATCGGGCAATGGCAGTGATCTCTAGGAACCAAATCATCGGGCACCTTGTTCTTGGACTTCCCGAACTCCAGAACGGTGAGCAATAAAAGTTTGTCATTTAAGCCATCCAGGCTATGATACACTGTTATAGCAGCCCACCATGACAAAGATGATTAGGAATCCAGAAAGATTGGCAGGTTTGCAAGAGACCATAAAATCCTGATTCAAATATCTGGCACTTCCGAGGTGGAGAGGACATGAAGGAAGTTAGGTATATTGGTCCTAAGCTCAATTGTGATTCAGTGTTGATGAAGGGACAAAGAAAGAGTAACTGTGAGCAGTGGGAAGATAGTCTATTAAAGGGATATTCCTAATTCAGTTTAACAAATACTTTGCCAGGCCCTGGTTAGGCACTGTAGCACGTGCAAAGGAGAATCATGTATAGTCTTCTGCCTTAAGGAGCCCACTTGGTTTTCATTATGGCCATAGACTCAGCTTCAACATGTATGAAAAGTGTTTCCAAGAATTATTGCTGAAGTAAGGTGTAAAATATATGTCTATAAGTTTAGGTCTATTTTCCTGGCTTCCGCTGATGTTTGACATAAGTATGTCCCTCTTTCCTTCTTTCTTTTTTTCTCTCTCTCTCTTCATTTCACTTATCAGATTAAACCAAATTCTAGGATCAGATAAACATGACAATTGATTTGTTCTTTATCTTCTATCCTCCATAAATGCTTAACTATATCATGGTTAGCGTATAGCAGTCTAAAAGAATGCAAGGGTGTATCTTCCTGGAAATCTCCAATCTTAGAATTTAAAATGGAGAGAGAATGAAGGAAGGTTTATACAGTTTCCTTATTTTTTAGTGAAACTCCTTCTGTAAGATATTTTTCTGCCTGTTGGTTAACTACTTTTAGCTAAACACATATACACACTCACAGTGAGTCTCTCAATTGATTACTGAAGTGTAAGCTTATGAAGGGTGTAGTAAATATTTTTTAAATGCTTAAAATATTTCAGAAAATATTTAAAACATTTCAGTAAATAAGAAACATTCTAAAATATGAATTTGCATAAAGAGCTAATTGTAGGACTGCAGTACTTGTCTTTGGAAATTAAACTTTGGAATAAAAGATAAGATTTTTAAATTTAAATATGCATGCTGAAAGTGCTGAAATGCACTTTCTATCATAAAGAATTGAGAACAGTAATTTAAAGCAAATGATAGTGTCTTGGTTCACCAATAATTTGCATATTTTGCCAATATTTAATGTAATTTCTAAGAAGATACTTTTCTAAAGTATGAGATTTCTTATTGGGGAAAAAATGTGGGTGGATTCACAAAAAGAATTTATCTTGAGTCTCTTTATAAATATTTTAAAGTTCAGTTCCTCCTTAGTCACATTTTAGCCAGTGGAATCCAGGTAACACATTTTGTTCTTCTTTCCCCAGAAAATGGTGTGTTTATTCTTTTATGGACTCAGAGGGACTTTTGAAATTAACTTCAATTTTTATGGCTCTCTTTTCATATCCCATGTGTGAATTTACTGTGGAGTCTCATGAATGATGGAATTTCAGCCGCCTTCCTACCGAATTGCTTTGCTTGGGTGAGTATAGAAAACCTTTGCAATGTGGTTCGGACTCGAGTTTTAGCACTTAGGGGAAACTTTTAAGAACAAGCCAGGATATGAATCAATATGAAGGAGGCACTTGAACACAAAACACACTTTTAAAAATTCATTGAAAAATTGAGAGCATTTTTCAATTAAGGGCGTATGACTTTAGTTTGTCCCCCTTTTTTTATGTGTTCCTTTTTAAAGTAATGACTTTATTATTGCTCAAAATAGAACTATAAGTAAAATTGCAACCCTAAAGCCTTTGGGGTAATTGTTCTAATTAATATAATTAATATCTTAGAAAAATATCATGGGTTGTAATTGAAAGAAATCATCTGGGTCTAAAGAATACCTACTGAGGGCAGCCCTATTAAGAATAATTCTGAGGAAGCTAAATTAATTTCCTGGACTTGCAAAGCAGCAAAAGGAAGGTTTTTCTTCCTTATAAGCCTGGAGGGTTTGATGTTTGGCCCTGTGGAGATCCAAGGACTATCCAGGCTGATTAACATGTATATAATTAAAGAATGCCAGCTAGGGCAGAACCTGTTCTATTTGGTTCTGTGCTACTGTGAAGTCATTTATGTCTGCATTACTGTATTTACCGTGTGTGTGTGTGTGTGTGTGTGTGTGTGTGTGTGTGTGTGTGTGTGTTTTGGGGGTAGGTAGTCTAGTTTCCCTGGACATCACCCTGCTGCCTTCTTTGGGATTACTGCTTCCTATCCTAGCAGACTCCACAGAGTCGACAAGCTTTCCCTAGCATTCAAAGTAGATTTTTCTTTCTGCTCATATTACCATTTTTTAAGCCACACTTTTCATCACATGGTAAGAAACACTGTAAATAATTGAGGTGATCCATCAAGAGCCCCGTTCTTGATAATGAAAAATTGCATAACTCAGTAGAAGTCAATTAAAAACCACAAACTTCAGAAGCCTTTGCTCAGTGAAGATTTATTATTATAGAAGGCATTTAATACAATAGATTGGGGGGAGGGGGGTGTCAAAATTTTTTAAAGTTCTAAAAGTTCAGTTAAAGCTTGACAATGACCTTGAGTAATATTTACACAATATCAAAGTATATTAGTTCTTTGAAACGAAAAGGGCGTACTTGTTTTTTTTCTTTAACATCAGGTATCTCAGATGTTTAGGTTTCTATAACCACATTGGAAACATCCCATTGTGGGACACTTTTCTTCTTCTTTTTCTGTTGAAGGTTTTAAATGATTCTTACTCTTTGGTTGTGCCTATACAATGAAAAGTAGACAAATGAAATGAGAGAAGTCAGGATATTTTCCTCTGTTCAACCAACTCTCTGAACAATTAGAACTTGCTAGATAAATGACTCAAAATGTTTTTGTTATCTTGTTGCTTGGTTAGGACACAGCCAACATTTTAATAGAATGTAGTAAGTTATACAGCTGCATATAATTTCTTAAAAATAAACACTGACTTTGTTTCTTTGGACATCCAATGCTAACGAGAAAATGCCAACTGTGTAAAATGTGGCATCTATAACATCTTCTTCCCTTTTAGCAGTTTTTCATGCCCAAAATATAAAATTAACGAAAGAGCAACTTTCCTTCAAAAACCAAACATATTCATCCATTGGCTCGGAGCCTCATGATCTTCCTAGCATAAGTTTACAATGAGCCCAAAGGCTTAGGTAGGTTCAGCAATAAGGCTGACAGATGCTGAACTCCAACCAACAGCACGCATGTGACTTGCTTCCTACTGAAATTAAACTGCCAAACAAAAAGGAGGAATTGTCCCCCTTTTAATAACCAAGAACACAGTCCTTGGAATTCTTCAGATTTGGAATTCCAGCAACGTTGTGTTTTCCTCTTGGTGTGTGACAAAAACGAACAGCGTAAAAAATGAAAACGAGCCTCATCTAAACAAGCAGTCCTTTGACTTACAAGGCTCAACATCCAACACATCAAATTCTAAAAATGCTAAAGACTAGTGAATTGTCAAAGCTGAGGGGATAGCATGCTGGGGAGAGAGATTTTTATCACCTTTCCATTTATTTTAACTGACTAGCATCAACTTTCTTCATTTCTGTTGAGACACTACCATTCCCACTTACTAGGCACCATGATATTTCATATTCCTATACGGGTATTTGACTTTGACCTCATAAAAAGTCCCTTGGGTCTATAATACTTTTATTCTTGTATAATCTGAAACAAATCCTTTCCTTTTAAAAGTCAAACAGACCACGTTACACACACAGTTGACTATTTACAAAGCACCCAATTAAATCCTACTTAATTCTCACTCTAAAAATTTCTTGTAACTGGTGTGTAAAGTACTGATCACATTAAATGCACAATGTTCACAGGCCCCGACAGTCCCATCTAACCTAGAAAATATTACCTTCCTTAGAAAAGTCTTACAAGGTTTTGAAGAAATGAGACCAGAAATCACAGTACAAGACAGATAAATCTACTTTAATATTCACATGTAAAAGTTGCACATCACAAGAGATTGGACAGTTTACCGGTAACTAACATAGCTATAGTGAAAATCATTTTTATAAAAAAATAATCTAGAGGTGGTCATCAATTTTTGGTCTACTTAAGTTAATGTTTGAAGATCGACTTTTATCCCTGCTTGAAGGGTTTGCCATTATGCCTTTTTATTTTTATTTTTTTTCTCTCACTGTTGCCTATTAATATTCTTTGGAGGAAGGAAAGCAGAAAGTGTTCATTTCCAAGAGGTTGTCCTTTGGTAGCAAGCAGAGAACATTTTTCATTTCTATGATTTAAATAATCTGTACAAACATGAAACTTTAGTGTAAAATGAAGAATGATAAGCTTCCCCCCTCCCCCCTTTGATGAAACAGATTCCATAAACTCCTAAGGATCCAAGCATTTCTCTATCCCATATGCACAATCATTCAGAATCCATGTTGACCTCAATCAAAACACAAATAACAAACACTGACTCTATATATTATATTACACCATCAAGCCCCGTACTTAAAAACTGATACACTATCTTTCCAACATGTATGCTTCAAACACGAAGATTTCAATGTAGGTTAAAGAAAAGGCATTTGAATGGACTCAGAACAAGTTTTATTTTGTGATTAAACATTTCATGCAGTCATGCAGGACCACTACCTGTAACTGTTACTTCCGATTCTACATGGTACTTCGCAAAACAAAAACAAATAAAAAGCCAAGCCAAACAGAAAAGACATTCAAAATATCAAGAGCTCTGCAATTGAGCTGAAAAATAATTTTCCAAAAGAAATATTCCCATAGATTTAAAAAAGACACACATATTTACAAAAAAATATTTAATTAAAAATATCTTATAATTACAGTAGTCTATTAAAGCATATACTTTCTCACACTTATAGAACATCTCTATATATATACATGGTATGAAATGTCACTCAGTTATCTATACAATATGTAACATTCTTGCAGGGAAAAAAGGGAAAGTTCCCTGCCCCGTTTTAATCATCTATTTTAAACAATAGATGTAAAAAAAAAAAAAATATCTACAATGCTCTGGTATATTAGTAAAGCTTCAAAACAAAAAATTGAGCTCCTTGGTCACAAGTAGGCTTCTAAAGTCCTATTTACTCTTGCCTTTCTATTTATCAGTTCTGTTACACTTAAGCTTCAAAGTTTAACTGCACCTCAAAAACAAAAACAAAAAACAAACCCAAAAACACAGAAATGTACAATTCACAGCGGTTATAAATGAAAAGACAAAACAGAATACGGGATGTAGAATATTTATGAACGTGAAAGAAAAAAAAAGATGAAAGTTTTTTTTTAATTTTTCTTTCCTTTCCCTCTCTCTTGGAATGACGGGTGAAAACGTTCCTGGGGTTTGCCGATGTTTTCTCCTTTCCTCCGGTGCCTCTCTCTCTCACTTCTGCTCTTCCCCCTCCCTCTCCAGCCTGCTGGCTCGGGCTGCGGTGGCCGCACACCTGTGGAGGAGGAATGAATAGAGGGGGTGTGGGAACCTTCCCGCTGCAGACTGGCTGGCGCCACCGACCGAACTCAAGACATGCTTGATCAACAACCCAAAACAAATCGGCAGGTCAGACAGCCCCCGCAGCCCGCGGCCGGCCGGGCGCCGGGCAGGCAGCGGCGGGCCCCGAGCAGCCCAGAGAGGAGAGGGGACCGGCTCCCGGGCGATGCTGGCGTCCCCCGCTCTGTGGTTGTCAGGGTGCACGGAGGGGGGGAGCAATCGGGCAGTGCCCACACCCCCCTAAGAAGGCACTGAGTACCCTCGGGTCACTGGGGGAAGCCGGGGAGGCAGGGCCAGGAGCGGATCCGTTCCTATTTAGAGTGAAGCCCTAAAGCGAAGTACACATTCAGTTGCTAAGTGGCTGGCAGGGGGAGAGGGGGGGCTGTCCGCCTTCTTGGGAGTTTGCCCTCAGAAATACTGGGGGGCGGGGGGAGCAAAGAGCACGGTGGTGCCTGGCACCGGGGAGCCCCCCAGGACGGCGTCTCGGGGCCCGGGCCCTGGGGAAGGGAAGGCGCGCTCACCTGGCCCGCGCTCAGCGGCACAGAATGCTGTCGCCCTGCTTGTTCGCCGCGCCGGCCTGCAACAGCAACGCACACCGGGGAGGTTAGCGGGCGCGCCCGCACTCGCCGCTGCCCTCGATTCGCCCTGGGAAATCGGGGTGGCACGAGAGTGCCCTCACCCTACCTGCAGCCCTGGGGACACCCCCCCACACACACCCCCCGCCCCAACCTTCCCACCCCGGGCAAACAGGCTGGACTTGACAGCCCGGGAAGCGCCCTGACCCGCCCCGCGCGTCCACCCGGACCCGTGCCTTCCGTGCCCACAGCCAGAGGCTGGCGGCCCCGGGCGCGCGGGGAAGGGGGGTGGGAGTGCGGTCCTTCCCGGCCACCCGGGCCCGGAGGAAGGGGAGCTCCCGCGGCCGGTCACCACCCTCTTGGCCCCCCGCGACGTGCGCCCGGGCGGGCGCCGGGCTCTCACCGGGTCGGTGTTGAGCGCGGTGAGCGGGGTCCGCGGCGGCGCGGCCGGACAGGTCCCGGCCGGGGGGTGCGGCGGCGCGGGCGGCGGCGGCTGCCTCAGCAGAGCCGGGTGCGTCTCCAGCGCCAGCTGCAGGTCCAGGATGTAGTCGATAACGTGCTGCAGGATCTCCACTTTGCTGACTTTCTTGTTGGGCGGGATGGTGGGCACCAGCCTCCGCAGGCGGCTGTAGCAATCGTTCATATCGCACTGCAGGCACAGCGCCGGCTCGTCGGCCGCCGCCTCGGCAGCTTTGCAGCGAGCGGCCGCCGCGGCCGCCGCAGCCGCCGCCGAGCCGCCCAGGCTGTGGCCGTGCTCCGCCAGGCAGCGCAGCGCCAGCTCCCCGCCGCCGCAGCCCGACGGCGCCTTGCGGCCCGAGGGGCGCACGGGGCTCACCGCCTTCATGGCGCGCGCCCTGCGCCCGGCGCGAGCAGACCCGCTAGGGCGAAGCGAGGGAGGGAGGCGAGCGCTGGGCCCCCGCGCGCGGCCGACAACACTCCCCGGCGCTTCGGCGGCCGGCGCGCTCTGGGCACCGCCAAGATCTGATTAAAGATCCGGAGCCCAACAATTGACTGGAGGGTCGCTCCGGGTTTGGCGAAGGGATCTCTGCTCAGTGGGCGACACTCGGCCGGCGGGACCAAAAGGCAAGAAATATCAAAAAGCCCCGGCAGTTAAGAAGCCTACCGGGTCCCTCGTCACTCCCTTCGGAGGAGCTCCGAGTGCAGCCCAGGCGCCGCCGCCGCCGCGCTCCCCCCCGACTCACAACCGCACCTCCTTCCAGCTCTCGCCCTGCCCGGCGCGCGGCTGTATTTATGGAGCCTGGCGCCCCGGGGGCGGGGCCAGCGCGCGGGCCGGGTCCCCGCGCCCGCCGAGCGGAGCGGAGCGGGGCTGGGAGCGCGGAGGGAGCCAGCGAGGGCGGAGGCTCGGGGCGGCGCTCGGGGGGCGGGGGAGCCGGGCGGCCCGAGCGGAGGGGGTAGGCGGGGGGTCGGGAGTGGCCAGCCAATCAGGCAGACGGTGCCACCTCAGGGAATGGCGCTCCGGCCAATGGGAAGGGCACTCCATTCCGTCAACGCCGTAGGTCGGGGCTCCATGAGAAAAGAGCTGGGTGGGAGCCGGGCCAGGCTGGTGTGTGCGCCCCAGGGAGGGGAGAGAGGGAGAAGTTCCTGCGAAGAACTGCGGGAATGCGCGGCTGGAATGCATTCTCCCTCGGCTCCGGCTGCTGAAGGAGCGCCGAGCCCCGCGCGCGAGCCGAGGAGAGCCGGCCGCTCTGAATAGCGCGGTGCGTAGGGACCCTCCAGCGGCCACCCATCCTCACTCCATACCTGGGATTCCAGCGCCTTGAGAAGGACGCTTTTCAAGAAGGCACGTTCCTTCTGTGCTGTGTTTTTTTGTGGTTTTTTTTTTCCCCTCGCCGTTTCATTATTTGCCTTTTCAAAATTGCCGAAACCATAATGATGGAATGGAATGCGTAGCCTTTCCGTTTTCCTTTTAGAAAAGGTTTAATGCTTAAGAGGCAAAAACGGAAAGAAATGCCGAATGCAGATTTGTGCTGAAAGGGAATATAAATAAAAGGGGGGGAAAATCCGTCGTAGGGTTTTTCTTTGCCTATCTAAACACAAAAGTGGGCTTCAAGAAATGCAATTGCTTTTGAGCATGAAATTAGAACATATAAATATTAAAAATGCATGGGCAGGGAGTATTTAAAATTCTACCATGACATATAGTATCAATCCGTTTTATGTAACATTCATATCTGTAACTTAATGTAGGCCATCAATGCACCGCTTCACGTAGTATGTCAGCGTACCCCGCCTTAAATACGATGCTGCGAATATCTAGAGTCTCTTCCTTTTGCAACAAAGCATTAAAATTCACACTACCAGTCCCTGGAGTCCTGCTTGGGCCTCACTCTGCAGAAAAGTCTGCTAATTGAGGACGGTTCTGTTAGATTTCTAATAAAATAAGATAAAAACTGCCCTTCAAGGGTTCAAAACAAAATTGCACAATGAACTTTGATAGGACCTGTGTGAACTCTTCAAGAAAAAAATTGAGCCCTTCCGATGAGAAATTAGCATACAAACCCGCAGTCAGTGGAGACAAGAATTTTGAGCGCCTTCACCCTGCATACCTCCCATCTTTAGACAAGCTAAGCGGTGAATTAACTTAAGAGTTATTTTCATTCCTGTGCATGATATGGATTGGCACCTTCATGTTCATAGGCAATTGAATCAGATGTGGATTTCCTCTCTTGCTCCTCTCTTGCTCTCCACCCCTCTGTAAGGAAACCCGCTCTCCTTTCCCAGAACTGACATCCCTGCAGCAGGCAGGTGTTGTTTAGCCACGTGGGATACCTTATGACTATGGCACTACTATTTTCTCAGAGCGCATTCCTTTTTCCTGATGAAATGAGGAGTGACTATTTAATGCTGATTTTGCAACCCTCCTCTCCCCTAATCCTTACTAGTTTACATTACTGTGTATCAAACAAGTGACATTCTTTTACTTACATGCATATATAGATGGTCTATATGCACACTTATCATGAAAAGCGGAATTATAAAGCCCAAAGGAAAGGCTTTCTTTTCTAAATACAGGCAACGTTTTATATATTCTTATGTTAGTATAAAAGCAGAGAGAATGTTATTTTAGACAGAAAGTTGTTGAGAGAGCACTAATGGGGATAAACTATTACCTTGGAGACAGATCTGCACAGATGATGATAATAAATGGATATATGTACAGACATGCCGTTACATTGATTTTTCTGTTTCCTAGAGTTTAAAAGCTGCTCCAAAATTTAAAACCTAAGGTTTATCTCTGTTTGGAGAAAGTTAACTATGCTAATATGCCCCGGAAACACATTTCAGAACTTTACATATCCTAACTTGATTAAAAATAAATTTTAGCTTTTAAATAGTTGACACAAAGAGACAATCATAGTCATCTTTGTGGGCTGCAATAAATCTCAGAGGCCTATGCCCTGAGTGTGGTAGGTGCCAAGTGCCTGTGTTTCCAGTTTTGTTGGAGTTGCTCTCTCTGACTGACTTAAAATCAGAAGGGCTGAGTTTCTGTGGGGATAAGTTCAAAGGAAAGTTCCCCAGCCACAGGAACAAAAACACTCAGGAAAATGTGATCCCTGAATCCTGCCAGCAGAGTAGGCAAAACCCCTTATTGTGTTCTCTTTTAAAAAAAATTTTTTAAATTTATTTCAGAGAGGAAGGGAGAGAGAAAAAAGAGGGAGGGAGGGAGGGAGGGAGGGAGGGAGGGAGGGAGGGAGAGAGAGAGAGAGAGAGAGAGAGAGAGAGAGAGAGAGAGAGAGAGAGAGAGAGAGAGAAACGTCAATGGTGAGAAAGAATCATTGATTGGCTGCCTCCTGCCTATGTCACACTGGGGATCAAGCCTGCAACCCAGGCACATGCCCTTTACTGGAATGGAACCTGGGACCCTTCAGTCCACAGGCCCATGCTCTGTCCACTGATCCAACCCAACTAAGGCTGTATTATTATTTTTGAAGGTTGGAAGGCACAGAGACCTTAAAAAGTAAAGTGGCACATAGAATATTATACAATGGAAATCAAGAGTAAGACCCTGTGCTTTTTAGTCCCTGAAACCAGAGACTGTGAAGGGCTCCACAATGTATACTTTTGATTCTTAGGCGCAGTCACTTAACATGACGTCAAAGCTGAAGTCACAAAGAACACTCTGCACTGATAGTTCAAAAACAGTTTACTCGGCAATTACCAGCTTTTGGCAAAAACGCACAAGCTGCATTATTTCTATCGGGCAAAGAAGGAAATTTAGTTTCCCACGACTCTTCCTTTTATATCAAAATGCTTCACTCGCACTTGTAAAAATAAGCGATGCTAGCCAAAAGCCCTTTGCCACGAGAGTGCTAGAGACCAGCAGAATGTTCCTCTGTTGGAAGCTGGGATGAAATATTCATAGAACTGCTAGGAAGGCCCGGTGATCAGAGTCATGTGTACACCCCTCCTCCAGACAAAGGTCTGCAGCCCTTTCTGGGGATGCATTCTGGAGGCTAATCAGACCCTTGCTGAACTGTAACACCCAGGCTCTCAGAATTCACAATCGCCCTGTGTTTACATGAAGTGAGGGTATCCAAGCATATTGTGCTATTCAGCGCCAATGCCTTTTTAGGACTTGATACTTCTTTCTCCATGGCCGGCAGTGAAACAGTGGGTGGGCTCAAACACGCAGATAAACACCAGCGTTCCCATGCCTTGGTCTCTCTCTAGACGTAATTGGCCACTGGAGGAGGCACAGGCACTCTTTCTGGGCATAAGAAACCACTATGTCTCCTGCAACAGGAATGTCCCCTTGCTCCAAAAGAGTAAATTGGGCAATGTGGCAATTCAAGCTCAAGGCTGCTTTATCTGGCACGAAGCGCTACTAACTTACTTGTGCTACCCTCGGATTGCTGATGCCAGTCCCGGGAGCTCTGATAACCTTTTGGTTAGCCCCATCTTCGATAAGGCTTATGAAAAGGGAATTTATATTTTGAACATAGTGGGCAAATGTGTCCAGCAGAAACGCCTATGTTAGGAGTTTTAAAAGGTAGTCTGTTGAAATAAGAAATAGGTGATTTTTCAAAAGCCCTCCTCAAACAAATGAAGAACAGAAAAATGAAAGAAAGAGATGTCATTTGTTTTTACCTTAGGAGATGCAAAAAGCATGGGTGCAAAAGTCAGGCAGCCTGGGCTCTGATTTTGGCTCCTAGTTTGTTTTTAATCATGAAGCTGAATTTTAAAATTCTTTGTATATATGAAAGGAGGACAAAAATTGTATCTCCTTTAGAAGGTGTTCTTATACATACATAAGAACTTATATACATTTCTTAGAACAGTGTCTGGCTCATAAGTGTGTTAACAATGTTAAAGTGTATTATTACTTTTGGCAAACATTATCTGAAGTCAGTGGGTTGTTTTTTTTTATTCATTTAAGAATCTTCTGAGAGCAACAGTTTTTTGTTTTGTTTATCAATTTGTTCTTGGGTAGGTTACGTTTTAGGTATTGTATCTATCTGAGAAAGCTTTGCATAACCCAAGATAACAGAGGTGTTCTATGTTTTCATCTAGATGTTTTACAGTTTGGAGGGCTGGGTTGGCTTCATGGGCATTCATTCACCCTACAGAGTCCTGTATTTAGAAGAGCCTATTCTCTTTTCTTTTTAAAAAATATTTTATTGATTTTTTTTTACAGAGAGGAAGGGAGAGGGATAGAAAGTTAGAAACATTGATGAGAGAGAAACATCGATCAGCTGCCTCCTGTACACTCCCCACTGGGGATGTGCCTGCAACCAAGGTACATGCCCTTGACCAGAATCAAACCAGGACTCTTCAGTCCAAAGGCTGATGCTCTATCCACTGAGCCAAACCGGTTAGGGTAGAAGAGCCTATTCTTGGTCTAAAGCTCTGCTGAATTATATTTATATGTCTATGGGCCTTCTGTATGTCCTCTTTGGAGAAGTGTCTATTCAAGTCCTCTGTCCATTTTTAAATTGGATTGTTTGTTTTGTTGGTGTTGAATTGTATGAGTTCTTTACATATAAAGAATATAAACCCCTTATCAGATGTATCATTAGCAAATATGTTCTCCCATTCAATAATTTGTCTTTTGACTTTATTGG